TTTTTTTTTTTAATCAGACACTATTGTAAATTAGAAAATAAAATATTAATTTGCAATTAACAAGTAGTTTCCCCTTGTACGAACCTCGCAGGTGCGTGCCATCGATGCTAATAATCGGCGGGCAACGAAGGAAGGTTTGAATGGCGGGGCCGAACGCCCAGAAGACATATCTGACTTCTCTGTCTCGAGATTGCTTCGTCATTTCTCCACCCTGCCATTCCCACTCAACGACTGTACCGGGATTCGCCCTTTGAAGGGCGGCGAAAAACCTGCAAATTATAAAAGGTAACCATAAATAAATAAATAAATAAATAAATATAGTTACAAACAACACGTAAATACGTTTGTAATTAATTTTTGCTTACTGGGGGTGTTGTGCGAAGTTCGATTCCCACGTGCCATGCAGACGATCAATGGCTTTTTTTTCTCCCGTGTCACGCCTTCTTGTAACTGACATCGACGCCCTAGACACTTTTTACGTCGGCCTGGACCATTTCCACACTGTAGGTCACCTGCTTCTGAATCTTAGCCAACAGAAGATTTGAGATCATGATGGCGGTCACATTCTTGTGGTCATTTCTCTCGAACACCTGCATGCAAGTGTGGCTATCGGTCCATTCGGTTACCTCCCACATGCCGTGATCCCGTTTGTTAAGACTCACCCGGGCCTTCCATATACATGGTACAACTTCATCTGATCTGCACACAACTTTGAACGACTTCTTGTTGGAATCTTTTGTCCGGACCGCCCTAAGCTTCTCAACATTCCAGGCATTAATACCAATCCGGGCTTCTTCCTTGGTACGAAAAACTGTACCCAAACGGATAGTCTCGACATGCCCATTCCAGGTTGGCAAGGCATACTCGTCCCTGTCTACACACGACGAGTCCCACTCACCCATCTCGCGATAATCGTAGAGGTCTTCATTTGGAAAGGGGTGTTGTTCAATGAATTCTTGTTCGTTCTCCTCATTAATTGATCTGTCCGATTCGGTTTCCGAGGTCTCATCCGTGAAATCGTCTTCACCAAGAATGAAATCTTCATCTCCAACAAATTCTTCTCAATGTCCGGTCCTCTCATGGTAAAGCTCGTTCCTTCGCTGAAATTACTCGTCCCTTCGCCGAAATTACTCGTCCCTTCACCAAAATTACCGGCATGCGTAGTCCACGTATCCTCACCACCAAACATTCCCTCGTAACCATATGATGGCGTAGGATCCTCAACCTGTGTAACCTGTGTGTTTGCTTCCAACACTATATGCAAAAACACATAGGACATAGGAGCAAAGTAGTAAATCCACGAAAGAGAATTATCATTATGCAGTCTTCCGGTAATAAACGAACCATCCTGTTGTCTCGCCATCAAAGTAATATCCGAAATTGTCCAACTATCACGAAACCCACCATTTTCGTAAATCATATGTACCAATTGTTCAAATGATATTATTCCATTAATAACAAATGAACAATCCGGACAAGACATATAATTCAAAAAATTCCATAACTCACTCTGGGGAATTTTCCAGTACACATTAACAAAGTATGGACCGTTAGACGACATTTATAACCTGTTGCACAAAAAAAATTTATATTTTACAAATTACAACAACATAAAATGGCTAATCAAACACCACGAGAAAATTTCAATTATTATTTTACCAATCTACATTTAAAAATTCAATTATTTTACCAATCTACATTTAAAATGACTAATCAAACACCCGAGAAAATTTTAATTATTATTTTACCAATCTACATTTAAAACTCATTTTCAACAACATATAATTAATTATATTTTTACTCGAACAAAATAAAATTGTCAATTAATTTATAAAAAACACCACAAAAACCCTAATCATCAATCTACATTTAAAATGGCTAATCAAACACCCGAGAAAATTTCAATTATTATTTTACCAATCTACATTTAAAACTCATTTCCAACAACAACATATAATTAATTATATTTTTACTCGAACAAAAAAAAATTGTCAATTAGTTTATAAAAAACACCACAAAAACCCTAATCACCAATCTACATTTAAAATGGCTAATCAAACACCCGAGAAAATTTCAATTATTAT